CTGTAGTATGGATAGCAAGAAAGAATGTGAACTCACTTCTTGGGGATGCTTTAAAGGAAAATGTAGTTACCTCTTGGCCTGGATGGTTTGGATATTACCACCCCGAAGACGAAGGATGGACTGAGGCACTCAGCAACTCTGGAGAAGCTGAGAAGACCCTGGCAGCAGCAAGATAGTGGGATTTTATCACCGACTCCTCACTATGTTGCCATCTTAGATTTTAAGCAAATGCTGAGTCTATTGGAGTAGATTTTACTTTATTCTTCCATTAAAATTTCCTGCAAAAAACAAAGTTGGAACAGTATTGTAGCTCTCTCCATTAGGTCAAAATCTGCACTGAAACGAACTATTAAAACAAATAGGTTATAAACTGGGCATGGTACTGCACTCCTGTAATCTCAGCACTCGAGAGGCTGAGACAGGAGGATCATGGAGAATTTAAAGCCAGCCTGAACTGCATAGCAAGACCCTGTCTCAAAAAGCTCCCTCTCCCTCAAAAAAAGGGAAAGCAGTTCTTTTTCAGGGGCCCATGGATCTGTGTTCAGGCAGGCTCCACTAACAGACTTCAGGTGATTCATGAGCTCCATGAACTTACCCACAGACCTTTGGTGTATATGCATTTTTCTCTGGTGAAAAGATCCATAGCATCTATACTCAAAAGTGACCCAAAAATGGTTATGAAACTGCTGTTTTCAGAAGCCTTTTGGAAACCTCTGTGGGACTTGAAGTGTCACACACCATGCTAATACAGAAGATGAGTCATTTCTTTAGGCACAAGCTTTTCCCAAGTCCAGTCAGTGTGAGAGAGCCCTCAGTGCAGTGCAGGCTGAGCCACCTTCTCTAACCCAATGACCTCTTTCTCATTCAGGTGTTGAAATCAATAGGGTTGAAATGATCACTCCTGTGCCTTCTGCACTGTTTCAGAGCCGAGTAACCTTGATGCTACAGCCTGAAAAAGATAGTCTGTGATGGACACAGCTCACTGATGAATGACATAAGTTCCTAAATAAATCACTCATATAAAATTAGACTGTGATGGCCTAGTCTATAGAAGCGCCAGCTTTTTTCTGTGTCAATTGAATCTAGAAGCAAAACTTTCCACTAAACCAGTGGTCTTTTATTTGGAAGCAAAGCTCCAGTGATGAATGGATAAAACTGAAGCCAAGACCTGCTGTCTTCCTTAGAATCCATGAGAAAGGGGGATCAGGTTAAGTGAAAAGATGATAGTCACAGTACAGTTATAGGTTCTTAGCTCTCCAAGGATGATTCTGAGAGAAATTATGTAGCTCTTGTGATTTGGTTCGGGCAGGGAGCAGTGTTCAAATGTTTGTGTACATGAGGGACTCAGGGAAAGTTGAGTTCTTTCTTATCTAGCAGGGGGCAGCATCTCTGCTATTTTTTCCTTAATGTGGTAAAGACTATCTCAAACCAATGGCTGACATTATATTTACTAATAAGATTACATATACATCTGTTGTCATCGGTTGGGAAGATAAAGATGCTGGCTGCCTAATGTTCCCGAAGTTCCAGCCACTATAGTTCTATAAGAAAAAGATATAAATGGTGTAACTATTAAAAAGAGAAGGTAGAACTGTCTTTACTTGCAAATAGTTTTGACTTTTTATTCAGATTAAAAAAAAAATACTTTGAAATAAATGAGTGTAGCTTTTAGGGGATCATGATGGCCCACACCAGAAATTCCAGTCATTCAGGAATTGAGCAGGAGGAGTGCAAGTTTGAGGTAACATCACAGTCCTGTCTCAAAATAAAATTTAAAGCAATCTGCGTTTGTACCTCAGTGCTTCCTTGGTTTAATCCGCGGTACCACAAAATGAAAAAAAAAAAAATGTGTGCAGGCTTCAAAGTCAGCTGCTCTTACAACTCCACCTTCCCCGTTTGTGACCTTGTCTCACTGTTTGGCCCACTCAAGAACTAAGGCTTTTGTTCTTGCAGTCTTCCCTCATCATTGCTTTCTTCGAGGTCATTCCAGTCAGCCTGCATTATCATTGTGTGTGTGTGTGTGTGTGTGTGTCTGTGTGAGTGTGGTACCACGGATTTGACCCAAAGGTTCCCTACCACTGAGCCAAGCTATACCCTCAGAGTTTTTAAAATTTCATTTTGAGACAAAGGCTCACTAAGTTGACCTGGCTGGCTTCAACTTGAGATTCTCCTGCCTTAGAAGTCTTCTAAGAAGTCTGCCTAAGTCTTCTGGAATTACAGGCATATACCAACCATGCCCAGTATGTCATTGCATCTTTGAAATATCCTCCCTCTGGCCTCAGTGTGTTTTTCCAACTACACTCCCATGTAACCAGTCCCTTTACAGAAAAACTCTTAAAGAGAATGTTTGTGGTCATTTCTGCAGATTCTTCCTTCCCTCTTTTCTTTCTTTCTTAGCAGTACTTGGGATTAAGCTCAGAGCCATCCAATTGAGTACATGCCCCTTTTCTTTATTTTGAGACAGTATCTTCCCAAGTCAGTGAGTTGCCCAGGCTGGACTCGAACTTGGCAATCCTTCTGCCTTAGCCTCCCAGAGTTCTGCAATTGCAGGCATGTGCCTCTATGCTTGGTTTCTCTTTCTCTTTTTATAACCTTTTTTTCTGCTCATTATTCTCTTCTTGATGTCTGCTATGTTGGCAAGAGGACTCGAATTTGTCTACAGGCCCACTTGGGGCAAGTGTACCAGACAGAACTATGTTCATTCCTCTTCCATGCCACCGGCTTCCCTAACCCTGTCCAGCTTGTAGGTCAGCAGCACCTTACATGGTTGCCTGCTCTTTCCTCCTCACCTGTTCCTGCTTCCCCAAGTATTCTTCAGTCCTCTTTGTCTGTCGTCCCTGGATCTGTCCCAGGATTTCTTTCTCAGCCAGGCCCTCTCCTTGGAAGATCTCCCCAGATCCATGACCTTATACAACTATGTAGCCATAGATGATCTGATATCCCTGATTGGCACCTCAAGCCTCCTCCCCAGAGACTAGATTTGTAAATCCAAGTGCTGACTTGAAATCTCCACAACGGGCACAAGAAAGAATAAGGCAGATGAAGTATTTGCCATCATGCAAGTGTTTGTTTTGGTGAGAAAGAAAGTAAACAAGAATAGAAATAAAAAAATAACTTCAGAGCCTTGTAAGGGGTAGAAAGAAAATATAGTGGGGCAAGAGCAAAGGAACCTCAAAGTTAACCCATTCAAACTTGACTTGATTTTTAACTCTGAAATGAGCTTATGCTCCATGGCACACTTGATCATGTGCCAACATTAGTCAGTTTTCTGTTGTCGTAACAAAATACCTGAAACAATCAACTTACAAAGAGGAAGGGTTTATTGTGGCTCATGGTTCCAGAGGTTTCAGTCCATGGTCACTGGGCCCTTTTGCCTTTGGGGCTGTGGTGAGGCAGCACATCGTCATGGGAGCACTAAATGGAGCGAGCTGCTCTTCTCATGGCAGCTGGGAAGCAGAGAGAAAGTGGAAGGGGCTGGGGTCACACATGTTCCAATCTACCTGACTTCCCTCCACCTGCTCTACCTCCTAGAGCAGTGGTGGAGAACCTATGGCATGCATGCCATAGTGGGCCGTCTGTATTATTGAATTGTTGGATTATTGAATTGTATTATTGAAGCACTAAAAGATTTGCCATCACTGTCATAGAGGTCCCACCATCTTCCAATAGCACCACACTGGGCACCAAGCCTTTAGCATGTTCTCGATAGAGCTGTAATCCTGTGCCTTGTTGCTGGTTGGCTACATGCGTGACTATCCATGTATGACTGTACCATTTCTATAATCACTGGTACAGGCTGCCCAGTGGGACAGTCATGCATGTACGTCCAGTGGTTCAAGCTAGCAGCAACGTGTTAACCCGTGAATCTTTTTTAAGGCCCAAAATATAAGATCCCCCAAACCTTGGTACATTGTCTTTGTCTTCCCTTGTCTCTTGGATATTCAATCTGCCTGCCTACCCTGCTGACTGTCTTCAGAATAGATCGTGTCTTCATGGTGCTCCCGTGACCCAAGTTCTGCCCTCGGCTCATCACATCCCGCTCCTGGCTGTCTCTGGCTGCATCCATTCCAGCCTTCACAAGCAGCTTTCCGGCCTCTATGCAAGTCCCCTGAGCCTCACTTGGGTGGCCTCCCTCTTGTTGTGTAGCTTGCTCCATTGCATTATTGAGGTCATGACCAAATATCTTTCTTTAGAGGCTGCAGTTCATGCTCCCTAAAATGTGGCTTCCTTCCTGACCCATGCCATTGCTCTTCCTCTGCTATATTTTCTTTCTATTACTTACAAGGGTCTGAAATTATTTTTCTATTTCTGTTTTTGTTTATCTTTTCTATCTCTCATACCAGAGCAGATACTCTATGATGGCAACAACTTCATCTGCCTTAGTCTTTTTGTTCCTGTCATGTTTAGCACAGACCTGGCACATAGTAAGTGCTCAGTTAATAACTCCAGAGTGAATTTCAGTGTTTGTCAGTTAAAAACCATACTGAGAAAACAAAATGTGTATTTACTACACTGTATATACTAAACAACATCAAGTAAGAGATAAGTAAGAAAAATTAGGTACATTTTTTTCCTATCAAATTGGAAAAACTACTGTCAGTAAAAATGTTGATGAAGAGCCTAGGAAATAGGGATTCTTATTTCCTGCTGGCAGAAATATAAAATGGTTTAAATTCTCCTAGGTGGTAAATCATGGGTGATTTTTTTCTACTTTAATTTTTGTGTTTTGCTTTGTTTCCCAATTTTTCCCAGTGATTACTCCTCCCAGACTCAAACATACTTTTTAATCCCCCCCAAAAAATCAATTATTTAACTCTTCCTTTAAAAAATAACCCTTGGGCCCAGGGATTTAGCTCAGTGCTCCTGCCACCCGCCTTGCAAGCACAAGGACCTGAGTTCCATCCCTGGTACCAAAAAATATATAATAATAATAATAATAAAAACCCTAACACATGTCTGCATCCTCACACAGCAAATTTATGAAGCAGACCTGAGGCAGGATGAACTTGTCTGTTCAGACCTCTTCTCTTAAGAAGGTTTGCTCGGAGCCCAGAGCCGCTCTTGCTCAGAAGTGTTTTGTGAGCCCACTGGAAGCGCGGGGCGTGGGGCCCACCCCGTTTGAGGTGAGGTCCTGAGACCCTTCCTGCCGCAGCACAGGCTCCACTGGCAGGGAAGCCTAAAGGTTCTTGGCAGATGCCTTTCCCTGCTCCCTCTCTGCTGGGACCAAGTGGAAAATCATCAGAGCTACCGCCACATGGCCTTCCCTCTGCTGCGTGCTGTGTGAGCCCAGGACACATCCCTGCCCCGTTCTTCCAGTGCCCTCGTGCCCAGCCTCCCTGTCTGGCTGCACTTTCCCAGAAAGGAGGTCCACAGCAGAGGGTACTAACCAGTGGGCCCTCGTGCAGTCGCGCCTGCTTTCTTTCTGGAGATGTGTTGCCAGGCTGAGATTTCATTTCAGGGTGTTAGCTTTGGGGCTTGGCAATTACTTTTCCGAGCACCAAGCCCACCTGAATGGCATTGGCCGTGTGGCACTGAGCAGACACCAGGGCCTGCACACACTTGGCTTCCCACCTGGGCAGCTGTGTTCATGTTTTCTCAACCTCATTCGTCTTAGACCCTGGGCCTCTGACATTTGGCACAGCTACCTCAACAGCCCACCAATAGCCTAAAGGTTGTTTTGAGAGGTTCCTCGGCCTGAAGGTTGGCATTGGCTTGGGGTATCCAAATGGCTCACACTATGACACTTCACGTGTGGGTGGTTTGAGGGCCCCATCTTAGTTCCCTGCTCTTGCTGAAAAGCCCTTGGAGCTAAGGGACACAGCTGAGCAGGCAGGCAGGGGAGCAACCTGCCACCTCTACCTGCTCGTGGGAAAGAAGTCCCTCTTCCTTCCTGAACCACCCGGTGGAGGTCTGATTGTGCCTTAGGATGTGTGATGCAACTTCGTTTTCATGCTTCTCAGAGGATGTGCCCATGGGGAAAGTGGGAGAGCATGAGCACGGCTCTCCATCAACCCCTGCTGCAGCATGAGCCTGGGTGGGACTTGCGTCACTGCACAGACCAGAGGACACACAGGACGAGAGCTAACCTGCTTCTTTGCCCTGCTGCCCAGTTATTCTTTTACTTACACTTTAGTGCTTCTGTGCTTGTCTCGCCATGGGGCCTGAGGGACTAAACAGAATTCTGCAATTATTTTGGTTTGGATTTAACCGTCTTTTTTTTTTCTTTACAGCTTAAACTTTGGAACAAATACCGAATTTCCAACATTCCATCGCTAATATTCCTAGATGCTACCACTGGCAAGGTTGTGTGCAGGAATGGGCTCCTGGTGATCCGTGATGACCCAGAAGGTGAGGCTTCGCTATGCCCATCTGTACTCTTATTGCACAGCGAGTCCCTGCCTTGTCTTGCCCTAACCCCCTCCTTGCTGGCACAGGCGGTACTACTGAAATGTGTGTAAGTGGGTTTGTGTGGCTAGAAAACATTGTCTTGATGAAATTATGCTATTCTCTAGGTAATGGTTAAGATTTATAAAGGGACCAGAATGTTCCTCTAGAGGCCTTTAATTCACGGACCAAAGCAGATGGAGTCTGGAAAAGAAAGTTCCGCTCCGAGGGCTCAGGAGGCTGTTAGAAAGCAGCAAGGACCCAGATACTTACTGGCTTCTAGCACTACTTCCATGGTGCCTGTCTACCAGGCAGACTACGGGGGTTTTTTTTTCCTTTTCTTTTCCTCTTTGAAATATAGATTAAGTCTCCTTTATCTGGATATGTGTGGGACCAGAAATGTTTCAGATTTTGGAGTTTAGAATATTTGCATAGACTTTACTGATTGAGCATAATTAATCCAAAATGAAATCTAAATTGTGATGACTGCTTGTGACTCTCAAAAAGTTCCAGATTTCAGATTTGGGGACTAGAGGATTAGGGTTGCTCTGCTTGTCTACCACAGCAGAGCTGCAGACTCTGGTTGCTCTCCGGGCCTGAGTGGTGAATGTACAGTACCTCATTTCTTAGTTTGGCCTAACTCCCACAAGACTTGGTCCTGCTGCCTCACTGACCATAGCCATGGGTTGGGAAGACTGCTCTGGTCAACGGCCAGCCAAGATCTGCTTCTTTCCCACTTGCACTAGAGTGATAAGAACTGCAAGACCTCCCCTTCCTTGCTTACTGATCAGATTAGAGGTTTCAGCCCTGGTCACAAATTTTTCTAGTAAAAAAAAAAAAATTCACCTGTGTTGAAGGATTGTTTTCTTTAAAAAACCAGGGCATGACGAGACCAGGTCTGCACTTGCACACACGCCTGACTCCAAAGATTGTTAACAAAATAGATGGCCTGGCCCCTTCTCTAGAGATTTTCCTATTCTTGTGTTTCAGGCTGGGCTTGGCCACCTGCAGTTTTACTTGGTCTGTGCTTCTCCCTCTCATCCTGGACCCCTCAGGCGATTTTGAGGCAGTGGGCCTTATACCACCCTATGAGAAAACACTCTTCTGTTGAACTGGGAGCATATTATTTATTCTTCCCGCCTGAAGCTTAAGTATCATCACACTGTTGACCATCTGGGTTGGGTGGGTTTTAGTCTTCCTTTTATTAGTATTAAATTCTCACTTAGTTCCTTGACCCCCAACCCAGACCAACTGAATCAGACTCTCTAGGGATGGGACCCAGTAGCATCATATTTTTTAATTCCCTGGTAGATTCTAACATACAGTCAGCACTGTGAACCACTGAGATGCCAGCCTAGGCTTGAGTTGACTCGTGGTTAGTATGTGAAGTGGTAACTTCCAGATCTAGCCCTCATTCGAATGACTGGGAAGTCTGTTCTGTTCTGTGTGATTTGTGGGGGCAGGGGGTGGTTACTGGTGATCGAATCCAGGGCCTTCATACTGATGTATATATCTCCAGCTCTTTTTATATTTTATTCTTGAGATAGGTCTTGCTAATTTAATTTACTTAGTTGCCCAGGCTGGGCTCAAACTTATGATCCTTGTGCCCTGGCCTTGCAAGTACAATACTGGGATTACAGAGTTGTGCCACCATGCCCAGTTTGTTCTGTTTTATTTCGCCTGTACACCTCCAGCCTGGCTTCTGTGTCCTGAGTTAAAATTGTCTTGCCTGCAGCCCTGAGGCTTCCTGGGTGCCAGGCCATAATGAAGAGCCTTGACGGTCGTGCCATCTGTTGCCTGTTTCAGGTCTGGAATTCCCCTGGGGACCTAAGCCCTTCAGGGAAGTCATCGCGGGGCCCTTGCTTAGAAATAATGGGCAGTCGCTGGACAGCAGCAGCCTGGAGGGGTCTCACGTGGGAGTCTATTTCTCCGCACACTGGGTGAGTGTTTGGTCCCTCCTCAGTCCTGATGGGAGGAAGCAGCAGTGTCACCACAAACCCAGCTGGCTTCTGGCTTCTGGAGGTGTGTCTACTCTGGCAGGTATTTCCTGTCCTTGCCTTCCGCACCTGATGCATTCTGGCATGCAGTGACTGCTTAATGTTCTGAATGATGATAGAAACAAGAACATGACTTCTTTGGACTGATCTAAAAGGACATTCCTCATAACCCATGCAGAGGCTACCTCTAAGGGCCCCCAGGGGACTGTTCTAACTGCTGCCTGCTGGCACACTGCATGGGCAGGACAAAGCCTCTGCTGGACGCTCACCATGAAGAGAGTCAAGCTTAGTACCGCCTCTTTGATAAACTAGATTTTCTTGTCCTAGTCCTACTTGGTTCTTACTTACCTGGTCTCTGACAGCAAGTGGCTGAGAAATAAGAGAAGGTACGTCATGCAGCAGAGTTCTGCTCTTTTCTTTCAGTGTCCACCTTGCCGAAGCCTCACCCGAGTGCTGGTTGAATCCTACCGGAAGATCAAGGAGGCAGGCCAGAAATTTGAGATCATCTTTGTTAGTGCAGACAGGTAACGTGTGTCTCTGCAGACAGGCAGTGCTGCACCCCTTCCTCATAGGCAGTTAACATCCATTTCTTTAGTCTTATATTTTTTTTCTTGCTGTAGGATGTGAAGGTAGGGGTTGGGGAAGACATCTGAGATTATTGGCGGAGAGGCACATGCATTTCATATTTACTCATGTAATGGAAGGGAGCTGGGAAAAACCTCTTCTTGCTGTAAACACTGGGGCATGTCCCAATGCAGACCTGAGTTATTTGAGATCAGGATATGTTTTCTGATTTGTTCAGCTTTCTGGATTGTGAGAAAAGGTTATAGAATGGGGAAGATGGAAGAGAGCCAGAGACTAATGCATTGTGACATCTGTCTTGGATGGATATGCAGTTGTTTTCTTTGCTCTGGCCATGAACTCTGTCTGGGGCTATTTGAATGCACGTGGATAAGGACTCACAAAAGCAGAGAGGGCAGAGGGACATTCTTCCTGGAGCAAGTCAGGTCCTTTTAGCTTCAATTTCCTCCCCTTCTTGATGTCTCTCTGGCTTCACTCATCAGTGAGCTCCCTTCAGCTCCAGCCCTGATTCAGACTTAGCTACCAGGTACTTTTGCCTTTTAAGTTCCTGCTCACAGAGGGGTCTCTAAGATGCCAACATGCCAAAGGCCTTTTGCACATTGTATCCTCATCTGTGTACTGTCCCCTGCTCAGGTTACTGTGATCCTGCCCCACAGCTCCCTGCCTCAGTGTAAGGGAGTAGAGGCAGCCCTGAAGGCATGCCAGAGGAAGCAGTCACTTTTTTAAAGCCTTAAACAACCTCACCTTTATTGGAAATATAATTTCTGTACAGTAAAATGCATCCATTTAGAATGCATCTGTTCTACAGCTCAGTGGGTTTTGCCTAACTGCCTGTGTGGTCATCACCGTCATGGTCAAGGTGGAGAATATCGCCATCACCCCAAAGGTTCCTTTGTGCTCCCTCTCAGTCATTCCCCATCCCCAAGTCCCACCCCCAGGGAGACGTCTGTCTGTCCTTTGAGTAGACCTGTCTGTCTTTCCTGGAATTTCTTACATAGAGAATCATAGGTGTACACTTGGTTTGAAGTGTGTGGTCCTATACAGATCGTAGTCCCATAAGCAAATTAGAAATACCACAGGAATGTGATGACTGTGTACATCTAAGCTCCCTAGAAAAAGTAAGGCCTGTCTGTGTTGAAAACACAAGGTCAGGTATGGATGTAATTGGCGTCAGGCGGGTGAGCAGGATACTGAAATGCACTGCCAGGCTACATGGAAGCATGTGCTTCTTGGTGAGCACAAGAGGGGTAGATCAGTCCACATCCATAGCCTGCTGTCTGAGGAGCACAGTGAACCCGAGCCTCACGGGGGCCTGGGCACAACTTGGTAACCATGGGGGAGGACCAAACAGCACCTTGATCTCCACATGTGTCACTGTAGGTCAGAGGAGTCCTTCAAACAGTACTTCAGTGAGATGCCCTGGCTCGCTGTCCCCTACACTGATGAGGCCCGACGGTCGCGCCTCAACCGGCTGTACGGAATCCAAGGTAGGCATCCCAGACCCCACCTGACTCCCTGCAACTCCTGGATGGAAACCTGACCCCTGAGGTTCACTTTGTTCCTGGCTTTCTTTTTTGTTTGTTTTTGTTTTGTTTTTTTGTATTTTTGATACCAGGGATGGAACTCAGGACCTTGCGCTTACGAGACAGGCGGTGGAACCACAGAGCTAAATTCATGGCCCTCTGGCTTTCTTTTTAACAGAAAAATAACACTTTTATTTCTGTGAGTGTCCATGTTCCTTGCCATCTTAAAAATTACTTGGGGTGGAGCCAGGGATTTAGCTCAGTGGCACCACACCTGCCTTGCAAGTGTAAGGTCCTGAGTTTGATCCCTGGTACCAAAAAAATTTTTTAAATCTTACTTAGAAAGAACTTTATGGTATATAACTTATACTTTATTAAACATTTTATTAAGGACTGGGGATTTAGCTCAGTGGTGCTGCCGCCTGCTTTGCAAGTGCAAGGACACAAGTTCAATCTCCGGTACCAAAAAAAAAAACCCCAAAAACATTTTATTAAGTACTCATCCTACAGGCGTTGGGTAGTAGAGTGCTTGCTTACCATTTATATGCTAGGCTCAAACCCTGCACTGCAAAAGAAAAAAATATATGCATGTATTTGTCTTGGTAAGAATAAATAAAGTACTTGTCTTGGTAAGACAACTGCTTCTTAGCTAGGAATGGTGGCATACAGCTATAATCCTGGCATTCTGGGAGGCTGAAGCAGGAAGATCTAAAATTGAGCAACTTAGTAAGACCCTGTGCCCCTGAATTCAATCCCCGGTACAAACAAAAAAAAAAAAAAAAAAAA